GTTTGTTTTTTTTTTTTTTTTAGAAAAATCTGAGGTATACTTTAGTGATGTACTTGACTTTTGGGGAGGATAAAGCTCCATGAGGCGATTCGTCAGCATTGCGCTGACGGGGGGTGGGGGAGGCAGGCAGGGCAGGGGAATGTGTCCTCACCTGCCCGGCTTCTCTCCGACGAGCTCCAGGGCTGCCTTTGCGCCTCCGCTGCTGTGCCGCCCTGCTTTACCTTGTAGAAGGGCAAAGAGGTGGTTATGTATGCTAAACATGGTAAATTACATCAGCTTGCATTTGAGTTCCTCTTGGCCTCCTTAATGTCTGTTCGGTTGTTTTACAAAATACAGTGCTTTTCTGCTTGCTTTTGGGGAAGCTTTAAAGCCTAGGGAGGTGGGCATCTCTGGCCTTCTGAGAGGGTGCAGAGGGAACCATCCTTTCTTAGATACCATGAGCAGCGCTGAGGGTCCTCATTGCTCTTCCAGTTGTACCTTCAGTGGCTTGGTCAAAAACACTGGCTCGTGTGCCTCAAAGGTTGAGGTTCTTGGTGCTTGGCTGTCTTAGACCTCATGTTAGGTCAGGAACACATCTGGATGCTGCTGTTACTGATAATTAAACCAAGCTTGCTGCCAGGGTGGTGAGGATGCACCCCTGAACTTGCCACCTCAGTGCTGGAGAGGAGTGTGGACAGCCAGTGAGTCACTGCCACCCAATATGGTTGGGCTTGATGATCTTAAAGATCTTTTCCACCAAATGCTTCTAATATTTGAGCTGCTCAGTATCTCAGCACATGAGGAGAGGCAGTTGGGTGCATGACACCATGAGCCATTAATGCAGGCGTGGATCAACATTAGCTCTGCAGAAGTGATGGGGGAAAAAAAAGCTGGAGGAACTTGGCAGAGTATGCAAGCCCTTTCTTCGTTAGGCAGGTTGTATAGATAATTTTTCAACGTTGACTGTGGACTCAGCAGTTCATTCTAAATATGGAAGCAGTCCCTTTACCAGAAATGAAAATGTTAATCTTCTTTCTTTTTTTTTAAAAAAAGGAGTTTGGGCGGTGATTTGGCTTTCCTCTTGCTGTTGAGGAAATGATTCCAAATTCTTGCAACACGATTACTGGGAAAAGGCAGCCTCTGTGCCCACAACCAGTATCAGCATAGCTCTGGACTGAATTTTTTTCTTCATCTTATGCCAAGTAGGACTTGCAGACTTCTAGAGTGTGTCTGGTTTGAGCTTGCATCCTGATTATTGAGCTGGCTGTAACAAACTGTGGAGTAAGGGGTTATTGCAAATGAATAGTTAGTGAAGTTATTGTGGAAAATTTTATCTTTAGCTATTAAAATACAACACGTTTGCAGGTTAAGCAGTTTGAGATGGGAAGGTTTGGAATCTGTATGTCAAAGGCTGGAGACACCCACGTAATGAAGTATTCTGTAGCACTTCAAAAGACGAAAAGCAGTGGAAGAAACACCTGCCAGCCTTCGCGTGTGTGTGTCATCCTCGCAAGCCTGCCCTGAAATCAGAAAATTTGACTGAGGCAGAAGCTAAAGATCAAGTGGGTCGTTTGTCTGCAGCCTGAAAGCGAAGAGGAAATGTTGGGATGATCCAGTGCTTGGTCTGATGAAGTGTTACTGAGCAGGGGATCCTCTGCCTGTGGGGCGCTGCGGATGAAGGGTTGTGGGAAGAAACACTACTCAAACCCATTAACCCCCAAACCCATTAACCTGATTCGAAATCCCATCCCCAGATAAGAGACATCAGAAGATAAGATAGTGTTTTAGCACTGCTTTAAAGTCTTGGTAATCTATTTTTTACAAGTCTTTGGCCTGGTCCTCTGCTGAATTAGAATACATGTCTTCATGACATTTTTAAAGCAGGGCTAGATCTAGTTAACTTTAAAATAAGTCTGATTAACTGCCAAATACTAATGGAAAATAATGTCCGTTGCAACTTGAGGGAGGTAAGGGCTCGAGCTATTTGAGGTATTTCAGTATCTCTTGGGGGGAAGGATGCTATTTAGCTGACTTTGATTGCAGTATCCTGCAGCTACTTTCAAGGTGACTTGATCAGTATTTAGTATCCATCTTTTACTGTTTTCTGGCTGGGAGCATGCAACAGGCTGCTGTGCAAATTAGTCCCTAACTTGAGTTAAAGTAAATGTCAGGTTTTGCATCAAACCCCAGGATGCTGCTACTTTGAGTGGGGTTTTTTTTTTGCTCCCTGAGAAAATGAGAAAAGCTGTAGGCATGGGTTAAAATAATCTTGTGTTAGAGTGAGGACAGGCCCTGCTGTTGTGGTTTTTGGTTTACAATCCTTTCTATAATAATGTGTTTTTTGCTAAAGGACTCCTTAAGTACAAAACGTAGAGAGTCATGCAATTGATAGAACACTTCAAAGCTAGCTGGAAATTCATTTGGAAGTTTTTTTGTTTTGGGTATGCCTATAGAAATATGGGACAAAACAGCCTTACAAGTAAGAGTGGAACGGGAAGATTCATTATTCAAATATTTTCTGGTACTGTCTAGTTCTGCGAGTCATTATGAGGATTTAAATTAGCCACAGCGTTAAGGAAAGCACTTGCCAACTTGAATTTCAATTGCTTTTTGGATTACCAACCCTCTCTTCAAAGCAGGAATGTCTGGTTGCAATCTAACTACACCATAAATTATTCTGCTCTGTGGTAATGTGTGGCAGCCTTGAGCTGCTTGGGAGCTGTGTGCTCATTTTGCTAGGGAGACTATTTGAAATTTCTTCAGGTGAAAGCTTCATCTTGTAGTTTCACGGACACTGTGTAGAGTAATTCTATATTAGATGTATTTATCTACCATAGGCATTGTCATTACTGAGTTTTTGGCTTCTTCCATTAGAAGTGACTGCTTTGATATTTATATTTCTTGCTGTACAACAGCAGCTGTGGTATAGAAATCACATACCATTAATTAGGTATACATACCCGTGTCTCCCTAAAACATATTCTAGTTTGGTTTTTTTTATTGGTTGAGCTGTGGAAACTGTACTGGATACTCCAGTAAAATAATTCTCAACAGGGCCAGAAATACTTAGGCATTGCAGAGGATTAGCATATAATTAAATCCAGAAGGGCCTTGGATCTTTATTTCGAGTTAGCTTTGCTGTGTTTTGAATGTGTACAATGTGTTCAGTGTCCGTATAGAAACATTTTCCCCAAGTTCAAGTTACAATTTCCCCAAGTTCTCTGGTAGTAAGCATTGCAAAGGAAATGTCAAATTTCTGCCTTTGCCATCTAGTTTGCTTGCAAGTTGGCTGCGTTGAGCCATGTGAGTTATTTTCATGGCAGAGTAACAGTAAGTAATCTTTATAGGTTTGGTTTTTTCCCATTTAGAGAGGAAATAATTAGACTTGGTAACTGGGAATGCCAAGTCACCTACGTTTTCTGTTTGAGGAGCTGTCAATATTGTGATGTACACGTGCTTGGAGATGACACATTCTGTCAGATTCAGTATCCAAAAATCACCTGCATTTTGTCCCAAACAGCCAGGATGACTTTGGAAAGGGGAAAAACCATCAGCAATGAGTCAAGCTACTTGGAGCAGCCACCGTGGTATTTGATGTGTTTTCTGTGGAGCTGATAATTAGTGAGCCCAAGGCTTTGGGAGTGAGAATGCTGCTGCTCAACTCCTGTTCTTTCAGTTGACTGGAGTCCAAAAGGCTACAAAGACGGATGCCTGATGGCTGCTTGGTGGTGTGGGTAAATAATAAAGTCCTGGCTGTTACTCAGGGCAAGGGGAGGCTGAACAGGAGCTGCTCGGGTTCAGCTCCAGAGGTGGGACCTGAAGCCCTGTTTGTCTGCAAGACCCAAAGCCACCACCACCACCAAACAGGGCTCCAGCTCTCTGTTTTAGCAGCTTAGAGTAGTATTAATCCAACAAAACTATTAAATAGGCTTTAACTTATTTAAGATAACATATAAATCTAAGCTTTGGTTATCTTCTGTTGACCAAAGCCCGACCATGCTGCTGGTGAGGGGTTTTATTTCAGTTGAAAAGCTGAGCCAGTGTTGTACTTTGCATGAAACATAAGGTTTGAAAAGTACCCCTTCCTTAATGCTCAAATTGGTTTGGCTTAAATTATTTAAGATGCCAAACAGATTAAAAAAGGAGGAATGCAGCTGGATTATGCTTCCACCATAAAGATGAACTATGAATTATAAGCAATTCCTTGATAAAACAAAAATTATCCATGCTGTCCTTGACAAAAATGTTTTTATTTGTAGGAACAGAATCGCAAGCACAAATAGGCTTTTATTTTAATACTTTCTTTCACAAATACCATAGCTGCAGCTCTCTGCATTCTCCTTCTGTTTTCTAGGGTTGGCATGGCTTCAAATCTGCAGACTTAACTTGAGAGGGGGGAAAAAAAAGAGCGAGCAGCCTCGCTGGGCTGTGCTGGAGTTGTCTGTTCAGACTTGAGGCTCATTCCTGAGATTCCTGGCTTCTGAGGGTTTCTCTGGGCGAAGGGAAGAAATGCCCGGGTTGAATGGGGATTGAATAGGCTCGCACAGCGAGGGCCGCAGCCCCTCTTTATTTGCGCAGGAATAAAGGTTCAGTGATTGCTGCTGAATGGGACCAGGAAATTTCCTTTGTTGGTGCTGCAGCCCTGAGCGGTTGAAATGGTTCCCCCGAAGAAAAGGAGGTGTCAAATATTCCTCCCAGCTTGCACCCGCACAGAAGGGCTGCCCAGAAAAAAAGCACACTTCTTCTAGCTCAGCATCTTTAATGTGAGAGCTTCAGAAGGGGAAAAAAAAACCCACCTAAACCCCTTCAAAACAAACAGGACTCTGAGGGCTGGAGGTGGTGACTGTATGTATACATAAATACGTGCTGGTGGACATATATGGTGTGGTGTATCCCTTCAAGACTGGTGAGTGAGGAGATAGGTATGTGTCTGAGGAATTAGTTTCTGGGTGAGGCTTTTTTGAGGCTCCTTTCTAGCCAAGCAATAATGAGCTCCAATCCTGCCCTTACTTGCTAGAGCTATGCAGAGCAATGTGCTAGCCAGGCTGTGGCTCTCACTAGCCCTGCAGGCTGGCAACTGGGCTGTGCTTTGCCTCCTTGGATGCTGCAGGTGGCTACTTAATGGCACAGTACTCTGCAGTTCATTTATCCGGGACAAATAACTTAGCCTTGGGATAAATAACTCAGCCCCAGGGCTCTGGGATAAATAACTTAGCCCTGGGGCTTCAGGATAAATAACTCAGCCCATAGGCTCTGGGATAAATAACTCAGCCCTCGGGCTTCAGGAGGTAATAGCGGTGCTGGAGATAGCTGGGGAATAATTATTAGGAGAAAATACTTCTTGATTAACTAGCTTTAATGAACAGTTAACGACAGGTCAGCGCAGATTTCTCTCTAACATGTCATTTACCGCTGAAGACAGCTAAGTGTTTCTTTTTGAAGGGTGGTTTTTGACAGCTGCCTCTGTTAGATTGACATCGTTTATGAAGATAAGCGTTTGAATAAAATAGTGGCGTTCAACAAATTACCTTCTGCTACCTAGTTTGGTAAAGCTTCGCTCCCCATGTGTTACTCCTCATTGCAAAAACAACATTCCTGGGATTCTTGACTCTTTCCTTCCAGCTGAAGTCATCTGCCATGCGTCCGTGCTGTTCCCTGCTCTGCTTCGTGCCTGTCAGTTAAAAACTTGAGGAATTCCTCTAATCCCCTTCGTAGTCTCTCTCAGCCTCCCAGACCTTACAGCCAATTAGTTCTAGATAGTTGGGAAATTGGTGATATAATTAGCTGATAACCCCAAAACTCTTGAAAGCTGTGTTCTTGCTGCATATGTTCTGTGCTGTATTTTAGTTTCATGAGAGGGAAAAAGACAGAAGTTGGACTATATGACTATAAGAAACCACGTTCTGAGTTGCAGGCGTGCATTTTAAAGCCCAAACCCTTATCCTGTTGGGCCACTTAACTGTTTAAGTACCCTTTTAAATCAGAAATGCATTTTCCTCAGTAAGTGAGGCTTAAGGTAGAATTAAGACCAAACCAAAGGGAACTTCCTAGGAAAAAAAGGAAGATTTTTCTTATTATTTTCCCCCCAAACCTGTTACCAGATTCACCAGATGATAAAAATGAGATTTCTGACTCTGGAGATGGGTTTATAACTCTGCACATTGTTACAGTTCTTTAAAAAAAACCCAGCATATCCTTTAGCACTGGACTTAAAACAGGCACAAAGTGCAATATCAGACCTGTTTGTTCCACCAGATTACCAGGTTAGCTTTGATCTCATTGATAAAAAGTCGTTTTATGGGCTAAACAAACATTTATTGCAAGCATATATTGGCTTACAGATCGGTGAGGCTTTATTGACCCATAACTTGTGTGCCTGCTGATAGAACTGGGATTCTCTCCTGCTGGAGCACTGCAACAAATAAATGCCTTCATTTCAAGCAAGAGTTTATGCTAAAAATTGCCATTATCCATGACAGCTAAAGATGCTTCTTGCACTTATGTTGTTTAAATTACATTTTAGAAGGAGCAAAATGGATTTATTTCAAAAATCTCTATTTTTTTGTTTTAAATGAAAGCACAACTGTGCCAAATCTGCTTTGAAAAGAAGCCTTTTGGGGGTTAAGGATTTGTTCTCAAAGTCAAATCCCTGCAGGTTAATGCTGGGACTTAAACTTGGGCTGACCCCATTTCCCTTTCCTTGTTACTGAGGGCACCACAAGCTTTTTTTTGGGGAGAGAGGAACCGCTGGGGTGCCATCACTCCTAATTACTTGGGGAAGCTCTGGCTTTTAGAGGTGAGAAACAACAGGGAAGGGGGGAAATGAACTGCAAGAAGTGTTTTGGGAATGCATCACTGCTAAGAAAAGATGGGTGCTGTTAAGGAGCTTCACTGGAAGCCTTTCTAACCAAGCCTGAATGACTCTGGAAAGTGAGAAATACAAACTAATAAAAATGCTGTTTGCTTCCCTGCAGGGTCTCCTTATTACGACAACGTCCGCCCGCTCTCCTATCCAGATTCAGATGCTGTCCTGATTTGCTTTGACATCAGTCGGCCAGAAACCCTTGACAGTGTGCTAAAAAAGGCAAGTGTTGGAGCAACATTTGGGTCCAGAGCTGTTCGAGTGGCTCATCTGTAAACCTCTGAAGAGTGGGGCTGCTTCCTACACTGGAAACTGCAGTTTGTTTCTTTTAATAGAGAAATCACAGGGCTGCAGAGCTCGAATTTGAGATCATTTGTTTGAAAGGGCCGAATGTGAATTGAAAACAAAGAGGCCTTAATGGGCACTTAGGGGTGAAGTAAATTCTCATTCCTCAGCCCTTAGACAGCAGCGAATTTAGGGTGGTGTGAGGTGCAGGGCTGGGTGCAGCAAGAGATTGTCTCTCACGTTATAGTCACATAACAGGATTGAGAAACTTTGCCGTGTTGCAGAGATGGTTAAAACGTTCCTGCCAAGTGTTTGGGCTTTTGCCATGGCTTTACATCATTTCTCAGCCTGGAGTCAGAAGGAGCCGGTGACAAACGCGTCTGGAAGCCACCAGAAGACCTAGCAGTGGCGTCAAAATGCAATCCTGCCCCAAACTTCAGAGCTTTTCCACAAGCTCAGTGACCTGAGATTCAGCACCAGGCTTTCCCTGAGTTAAAACACTGAGTTTTGATAATCGAGCTCTGTGTTTGCGATGTAGCCCTGCTCCTCTCTGTGGTCACTGGGCATGACTCAAGCGTTGTCTTTGAGGCTTAGTGACCTGAAGTTCCTTCTTTCTGTAGTTGGGGCCAGTGATTCTTGTGTCACTAGGAATAAAGTGGTGTACAAGGCTCTGAATAGCCTACAGAAAATACTTAAAGACTCTTCTCTCAGCTCCTAACTGTGCCAGCAAGCGTCCAGAAGTGTCTTTTCTATCCCTGATAGTGTTGGTTAATATACCATTGCTTAATTCTAGAAAATTTTTTAACGTGCTTTTAAACCCCATTTTTTGTTGGCTTTAAACAGTTTTTGTTTGTTTGTGAGGAGTCACAGATCTGCAAACCATTACTCATGTAGGAAAACAAGCTCTTGATTAGTAAGTCAGTGGAATTAATGACTGTGTGAGATGGTAACATTTCATCCTTGACCAGAGTTTGCTGGAACTAATGCCTTTAGAAATGTGCTTGAAGGTAGATGCGACCCTTACGTAAGGGTATTTCCACATGAAGTTTAATAAGCCGTGACATTTCATCTTGTATGTCTTGCCTCTTTGGATTTAAACCTCCAACTGCTCGTGTGTAATAACAACCTGAACTTTTACAGTGGAAAGGGGAGATCCAGGAGTTTTGTCCCAACACCAAAATGCTGTTGGTTGGCTGCAAGTCGGACCTGCGCACGGATGTAAGCACGCTGGTGGAGCTTTCCAACCACAGGCAGACGCCCGTGTCCTATGATCAGGTACGTGCTGTCATTGGACTTAGGGGTGGAGGATGAGACTCTTCACTGTTACATTTTTTTTTTAGCCATATTTGTGAACAGTTTCTCCCCCCATTGACATAAGCCCATTCTAGAAGTCAAATGCCACACTCTAATAGATGCTGGAGGTGAGTTTGAAGACTTAAAGGTAAAGGCAAAGCCTGTCCACAAACTGGATGCAGCAGAAAATCCTGCAGCCCCACAGCATGTGCTTTAAGCATCATAGGATTGTAGCCTTATTGATTGCACAGAGCTCTTTTAGTGAATTGAAAGTAAACTTACTGCTTTTCTAGGTCTACAGAGGCCAGAACAGTAACTGAGATGTGACACTTCCTGATAAATTCATTTACTGATAAATTAGTAACATTTTTTGTTAATATTTGAATCTCATCCATTTGACCTTAGCACCATGACATGCATTGCATATAAATTATAATATATGTAATATATTCTATATAATTATTATATAGTATATAGTTATTATAATGGTATTCTATATAAGGGTTTTATATTGCATATAAACTCCTTAAAAATCCCATTTCCTGAAAACAACTTTTGTGAAAACTCCTTGTAGCTCCCTCTGAAGGTGTCAGCAAATCCAGAAAGCATCTCAATTCTTAACAGCAGTTAAGAAGGGAGAAGTTTGGAGCCAGGCATCAGGAGATAGAGAAACTGAGGTGAAAGGGAAAGAAATGAGGCCATGGGAGAGCAGGGAAAACTGGGCTGTAGGGTGAACTTCCCTTCATTACTCACTTGTGCGTATCATACGTTGCAGCTGAATCACAGTGGTGGTTTGAGATACACCCTGCAGGGTGTTAGAGTGAGAATGGCACCTTCAGGAGGAACTTCAGAGCATATATCCTGTGCTATCAAACGGTTTGTTATGTTTTATTCACAGTGCCATGTTTTCCAAGCCGATAGCTCCTAGTATATCATTACTAATAATGCAGCCTCCTACAGCATGGTTAAATTTAAAAATGCAGAGACATCATGAGTTATCTTGATTAAAATACAGCACGGAGTGGTGTTCTGTGATGGCTTATGCTGGTTGTGGCGTTTTTCTACACTTCACTCAGTAAACATCCCTCCATCTCAGATAATTTCAGATGAAACTAAATGCCAGTTTTTTAACTTAGTGTAAAACATATCAGAAGCATCCTTAAATCCAGCTTGGTTACAAACTACCACTGCTGCGTGTGGATATATCCATGTTCAGCCATGGAGCTGTGATTTTTCTTTGAATATTACACTTAGAAGGAAATACTCTCTGCCACTTATTACATACACAAGTTAATATATTCCATTTTTTTTGAGTACTTTGGTAAAATCACTGAGTCTCGCTGGTTTCCGTAGACAGTGATTTAAAAATCTGCTGCTGGATGGGTTTGTCCCCTCAATTTGAAGATTGACATCTCTTGTGTCACAGCTTGTACCCCTCAGGAACAGGAGTCAGCTGAAGACCAAGGGCTAAGCCAGGAGCTGTTACTGGGCAGCCAAAGGGAAAACTACATGTTCAGGGAAGCCAGTACTTCAGGAAATTCCCATTAATAATAATAATAATAATAATAATAATCCATACTCTAAGCAAAAGCTTAGACTAAGCAATGGTCGTATCCCTTGTGATTGCCAAATCCCTGTGTCATGATGCTCCCCTGTGCTAGTTTGAGGACAGAGTCCTCCAGGGTCAAGATGCACAGCCTATTTTTAAATTCCTGTGCCAAATCAACGAGAGATCAAAGATCTTAAGGGTATTTTCCCTATTCTTAACTTCATAAGGAGGCATTGGGAGGATAAAGCCAGTTTGGTGCCCCTTTTTCTCCAGTGTGTGAGTTTGCTTCCAGCCAGTGACACCTGAGCAAACATTTGGGAGGCTCTAAGGTATAGACTGGGTGAGTAAGAGTGGAGATATTTAACTGTGGGGAGGGCTCGTCCTCCAAACTAATGCTCCTGTATCAGCCACTCCTGCTTAAAACTGATAAGGAGAGGGCTGCATCACAGCAGTGTAAATAGTGGGTCTGGATAGGTTGGTGCCATCGGGCTGGCACCCGAGCAAAGAGGAGGGACTTGTGCCCGTGTCTCATATGTGAGGAGTGGCACATTGAGGATGTGGTTGGATTTTGTAGTTTACTAGAAGGACTCATCCCTCTGATGTAAAATTCTGTTGATCAAGGCCGTTTTTTCACATGGTTTTGTATTGCCTTCCAGTAGCAAAGGCCACAACAGGACACCAAGGTGGTGTCATCTGCTGGAGCCACGTGGAGCCGTGGCACAGACACCCCTGCTTTGACTCCTAACACACTGAAAATCAAAGAAGAAGGGCTCATATAACCACAAATGTCCTTTTCCTCTTACTTTTGCCTGTTCCCTAGCCATGAAACGATACAACTATTCTCGACCCAGAAACCCACAGCACATTTCCCTGTGAACTTTGCTCCTTTCCTGGAGATGTAACGCAGGGTCTGCTCCAGGTCAGGGCTTAAAGCACTCAGAATACATTTTCTCTTTGGAAATAAGCTTAAATCTGGAAGCTGCCGGGTCCAGCGAGCACATGGATCATGGATCCAAGGTGTAAGGGTGAAATTGCTAAATAGGTCCTACCAATGCTCTTCTGGCTTTCTGCGGTTGTTTGCAGGTCAGCGGGCTTATCTTCTCTCTCCCAGTTTGTATTTCTCAGCATAGGAGATGATGTTTGGAGCCTTGTTTAACGCGTCTTGGAACCAAAGCTCGTGTTTGTTTTGCGAAATTAGCTGCTGGCTGGAGCTTGAGCTTTGGTTTTCGCAAAGCGTTGTGTACGGCAAACAGCGCTGAGAAGTAATCGTATGGTTTGCAAACTTGGGTTTGATGGCATCTTCTCTTCCCCCCCCCCCCCCTTAGGGTGCAAATATGGCCAAGCAGATTGGAGCGGCGACATATATCGAATGCTCAGCCTTACAGTCGGAAAACAGCGTCAGAGACATTTTTCACGTCGCCACCTTGGCGTGCGTGAACAAGACGAATAAAAACGTGAAGCGGAACAAATCGCAGCGGGCGACAAAGCGAATTTCCCACATGCCGGGCAGGCCGGAACTGTCCACAGTGGCGACGGACTTGCGAAAGGACAAAGCAAAGAGTTGCACGGTGATGTGAAGGACCTTGGGGTTTTCCTGGAGAAAAGGAGGTTCAAAAGAGCATCCGGGAGGGGTGGAGGCTCAAAGTCCACAGCCACATGGTAATTTAATGAGTGCTTTAATGGAGACTCTTCGCCTGTCGTGTGAGACTGTGCTTAGGAACTGAGCAGCGAGAAGAAATGGCTCTGAAGGAGGTGGCTTCAGGAAGTGATCCCTTGAAGAAAATGCCAAAAAAAAAAAAATCTTTAAAAATAAGGGAAAATGAATGCGCTGAGAGAAGCGAGGGTGAATGGGAAAATAACACTGCAAAGGAGAGATGTCACGGACAGTGCTTGTTTCTTTTCTTAACGCTCTGCTCCTGGATGCTACCACTTTGATTTCATTAAAATAATACTTTAATGATTTTTTTTTTAAAAGAAGACGTTATTAATACGCCCTCCTCGTTAAGGAACTATCCCCGTGACCTTATAGTTGGTTTTCCAAAGGAGATGGTCTAATTTTTTAGTAGCTCATCGTTGAAATGGAGAGGATACCGAGGCCTGTGTGTGTTCACGTAGAGGAAACCGCTGTGTGTGAGAAGTCTGGAGTTTTGCCTTCCCGGGACCAGCAGCGCAGTCTGTGTTTGACCACGTTGGTGATGAAGACAAATGTTGGAGATTTCCCCATTGTTTTTTAGGTGCCCTGGTGGAAAGTAAATGGATTAAATTTGGGCGTGTGGGGGGCAAACTGCCTGCCCGTCGCAGGACTCCGGGACTTTGCGTGTTCCTCTTTGCGGTTGTAATTTAGAGTGGAAATGATCTCCCGTCCTGGTGTGCTGTATGGGTATGTCGCTGTAGGTTCAAGTGAAAGGTGCTAAGAGCTGTGATGGCAAATGACCCTTAGTTTTACACCCCCGATAATTCGTTTAAGCCTTACTGCCCATCTGGGGGAGCCCCAGAACTCCTCTGCTTTGAGTTGCAGAGCGGGCTGGACCCCAGGATCTCACCCTCTGTAGATGCTATGGAGAGGTGCTATTGGTTCACTGCAATTACCTGCAAAAAGAAAAACAAACCCAAAAAATCTGCAAATGAGCCAGCAGAGCCAGGTTATATTTCATGATGCTGATATATTTTGGGGGGTGCAGCCGTTTCTCACTGCAGGCTGCGTTTGGGGATTGGACTGGATGATCTTTTGAGGTCCCTTCCAATCCCTAACGTTCTGTGATTCTGTGAAATGGGATCTGAGGAGCTGCGACGCCTTAAGGGATCCCCAAGTGGATACTGCCCTTAGTCTTTAATATATCTTATGTATCACACGTATCCAGACAACAGTTGTGAAACACCAGTGAACCACCCAAGTTCCTTTTTGCTCACTGAATATACTCTTATATTAAATAAATCAGCCTTTAAAATGATTCACTGACCAACCCAACCCCATCGCCTCCCAAAAGAAGGATGCTGTGAGCTCCCACCGGCGCGGCCGTCGCTTGTTTTGAGGACAAGCCTCCTGTTCCCAAGGGGAACGCTTCATTCTGGAAGTGCTAAAGCTGTGTCCACGTTAACTTGTGCGAAGGCAAAGGGTTACCACGGTTAAAACCCGGTTCTGTGTTTTCCCAGCACTTTGTTTCATCTGATAAAAGTTAAAAAAACCCCACCCATTGCGATTATTTCCCATAAAAAGACATTTTTACCCCCGTAATAAGCTTTTTGACTGATGCAACAGTGCGCTTAGGGCAGTATTACAAAATAGCTGGTAAGTGCTTTCTGTATTTAAATATTGTGGAAGAAAAATAAGTTATAACTGTTATACGACAGGACATTCATTACTTTTTTTTTTAAGTGTTGGCGTCACTTTGTATGTTTGGTTAATGTTTCTGCAGTATTTATTAAAATACCATTTTTTTTTTTCCTTTGAATTAAAAAAAAACCAACGGTAATGGACTTGTAGTGGAAATGGCTTTTGTGTGTTAGTTCCTTAATACTGGCGGTTTTTTGGATGTCGTTGTATGAGATGAAGGCCAGGTGTAGCTGGGAATTGGGGTGTGATTTGAGTGGAAATCAAACTTAAATATAAGTGTGGAGTGTGGGTTATTTCCCTGAAATTTAAGAAGTGGAGGAGACCAAAGCAAGTAGTGGATGAAGTTGGGTTTGCTTTGCCTCCGAAGCGTTGAACGCTGCTTTTTACAAGATTTTGGCTGTTCAGGTTGTTTCCAGGAGCTGTTCTCAGCCCAACAAGCCAAGACTCTCCCAGCAGAGGGATGTGCCTGTTCTCTGTCACCATTGGGACATCGCGGTGGCTGTGGCTCCTCCTGGAGGGGTTGATCTGCTAGAAGGCAGAGAAGCCCT